ACGTTTTTGGTGAGTTCTGTCAGTCTGCTTCCTTTCTTAAAATTAAACAGAAAAATCCTTTGCAGGACTGCAGGGAATTTTCCTGGAACAGAGCCTGCAGTGTAAGATAGCTTATTGTCTTTCCCATGTAAAAATGTATTTAAATACTAGGTCACCTTAATGGAATTATCTCATATATTGCCAGATCTTCACAGAAATCTGGTTGATTTTTTTTCCTATGGAAAAGAAACGCAATCCTGTTTAAACTTCCCAAGTGTCTCCTGTAACAGCATCAGTGCTGTTAACGCAGTCACAAATGAGGGTTTCCTGGGCTGATGCATGTGCTCATTGTAACCTCGTGCTGATCTTGTTGAAGTTCAGCCACCGAGTAATTCCCGAGACTCACTGAAAGTGAGATGTAATTTTTACTTAAGCTGTCCAATTATAACAACCCCCACAGTGAGGGACTCATTCAGGGCCTTTCCTGATAAAGATTTCTAAGGCTTTGTCTGCTATTGTGTTGTGGAAAAAAAAAGAAAAAGAAAAAAAAAAAAAAAGAATTGTACTCCTGTTCTTATCAGAGCTACGGCAGGAGAAGAAAATGGTGACAGTAAGGTTTGCAGTGGTGATAAATACTAGGCAGGAAATGTTGCTTCACTTTCAGATGAAATGCCACAGAAAGTATCCAATCAGCCAGTCTCTACCTCTTCCATTGTTGATTTTTCTCTAATTTGCCTCATTACTCTTGTATTAAGGAGGAATCAGATAAGGAAGTAGCCAGAATGAAAGAAAATAAAATTCACAACAGCAAGGTCCAAAAAGTGCCAAGACAGATTTGTAAAGACAGCTTAGTTAAACATGCTGAAAACATGTTTCCTTTCCCCAGAAGGAAAAGCCTTAACCTGTAAATCTAAATAGATGTATTTCAAGAAAATTATTTCCTAGATTCAGTCCTATACAGAAGATATTGGCCTTTACACAATACCGAGGTCAAGCAGTAAAGTTTTTTCGGGACCAGTGCTTTTTCATTGTGCTTCGTTAAACACAACACTTGTTGGCCATTTTGGAATGCAAAATCCAAGTGATTGATCTCAGACACTCGATGAGCCTTTTGGAGATAAAAGAAGGGCTGAAATTTCCAAAGGAGTGTCTCAAAGCTAAGATACCCCGGGATCCACCTGGGCAGTGCAAGCACCTGAAAGAGCTGAGTGGATTACCCATTAGTAAGGAAATGAGCCCGTCAAGAAAGGCTGCTTATCTGAGATTCTAAATAGCAAATCTCCCCCGAGGTGGGACCTTGTCCATGATGGGAAGATTATGGAAGCCCCTTCTGTTTAATTAGCAGCCATCTGAATGAGAATAGATAGTGACTGGCTAATAAAGCTGTCTGCTTTACAGCTCTTGCTGCAGTCCTGGCTTTTTTAGCTCATTTCATGTGACAAGCCATCCTGCCACCCAACAGGACTGTGAGTTTATGCAGTGCCATATTAGGAAATCCTCCCCAAAAATGTGGAACTTAATAAAATGTCCTCATGGGCTTTTGAAGCCATCATATCCAAACTCTTCCTGCGAGGCAAGAGAATAGATTTTTTTTTTCTCCCCTGTTTTATGGGCTGTGAATGGCCAGCCAAGTGCATTATCTAGTGCCACGTAGGAAGCCTGAGGAGCTGAATCCAAACTCAGCTCCAGCTCTATGTCATGGATCATCCACATTCTGCAGGAAAATTTGCAAGGCCTTTTAGCAGAGAAAGCCAGAACAAATAAATCCAGTGTGACAGAGAAGGCTTTGATTTCAACAATAAAACCAAAAAAAGTACAAGTAAGATCAACTAATTATTACAATACAATTAAAAGCACAAAGAGTATAAACTCCACTTCTCATCCTGAAATGATGGTCAGGCAGACTCCCCAAGGACCAAAGGAAGGTACAGGGACCAAACCCCTGTCCCTGGGACTAGGTTCTAGCAACACAGAAATTTCAGGTTTTTGAGGAAAAGTCCCAAGCACCCTGCCATCGAGGATATTGAGAGCTTTTCAGAGTGGGTGGTGCAGTGGTGTCTGCCTGAGCCTGAGGTCTCTGCTTGATCAAGGATGGGTTGTGGTAAAAAACACAGAGAATAAAAAATTTCAGCCAATTTTGGTGTCAGTTGGACAGGACTTGGAACAAACTGTTCTGATGGAAGGTGTCCCTGCCCATGGCAGGGGGTGGCACTGGATAATTTTAAAGGTTCCTTTCAACCCAAACCATGCTGAGATTCTGTGATTGCTCTGGACCTCCCTCTCCACAGCCACCTCAGCTGGAGAAGTGTGGCCAGCCAAACCTCCTCTGAGGTACATTTTGTGCCTTGAACATAATTAAGATTATATGTCCAGAAATGTACATTCTGGAAGCACTTTGCATTTTAATACAGAGAAAAAAATTCATGTCTGTTGCAGTAATGTTGCTTAAAAAACAGAGTAGTGATGGTTTTTAGGTCACTCTGTGCAATTACCCAGTGTCAATATTTCTGATAAGGATTAAACACCCCACAGCAACTTTTCTTCCATGTATTCACCAAGTATTTGATGCTATTTAGGTTTTGTCTTATGAATGATACAGCCAAAAGCATTACCAAAGGTCTTTTCCCATTAATTTTTTGCTGATATGTGTTTATTGGAGATGGTGCAATCACCCAGATCTACACCAGTGGAAACCAGATTCATGTCTATGCTCATACAAAGATCTATTCCATAAGAGAAATGCAAAATATTAGCTTATTTGTTGAGTAGCCTATTCCACTCAAACTGTGAGAATCTCCTTGTATCACTGTGCCATTATCAGTGTCTAAATAAGGAACTGGAAAACTACAGAGGGGCTGGGTGGGGACCTAAGAAAGCAATTCAGCAGTCTGGAACTTCCTCTGCTAAGCAATTCTGGCACCAGACCCAGGCAAAATCAGAGCTCCTCAGCCAAAATAAATCTGTGCAATGACGATATCAGATGTGAGGTAACAGCAAGTCATGCTGGAGGATATCAGACATTCTTGAACAAACCGCAGGGCCTAGATGTAATACTTTGCCACTACACTGCGGCCCTGCCAGCTAAGCAAACACGAATTTTGGAGTCATTTTGGCAAGGCAAGACCATATGGAGCCTGTGTGCTGAGGGTGGGAGCTGGCAGGCTGCTGAGCACCTCCAGCTCACACGCCCCCAATAGCCACTAAATATCCTTCATTCCCACACTCTCATCCCTATGGAAGCAGGCAGCTCTGCAGTATTATTTCCACAAGAAACAGCTGCAAGGCTTGCTAAAATCTTTCCTTGGCTCTCAGGAGATTATTGATTAAACTTTCTGCCACTAGCCTTACAGTTTTCTTTAATTTTTGTATCTATGCACATGTTGAAAGCAATTGGATCCTAAACTTGAGTAAATTAGTTGGTGTGCACTGTAATTTAGGACTGTTAAACACTGAGAAGTTGAGATGGAGTTAATTTAGTTCCAGCTGAAAAGAGGGATGTTTTATTAGAGGTAATAAATTCAGTGCAGAACAAATTTTTTCAGAGTGTGCTGGTTAGATTGCCTGGTTAATTAAAACCTATGATGGGTAAGATGACACGTGGTAGGAAAAGGTTAAGTATTTAACTAATTTTCCTTTCATAGTTTGATTCATTGTAAGGTAAATACTACTTGTGTGGGGTATGTTAACTTTATTTCTGAAACGTGTTCACCCAGGCAGTGAATAGGGGTTATTTCAGAAAGTTAAGAAAATAGAAAGCTAAACTTTTATGACATTTGTACGGGCCAGCTGTAGTCAGAAAGATGTAAGCACTGAGGACAATACAAGCACTGCAGAAACTGTGTCATTTTGCCCATACAAGGGGCTTAGCTGCCTGGTTAATGTCTGGCATTTATGTGAATTCCAGTTCTTACAGATATCTATTTTTATCCTTCCTTAAATTCTTCCTGGAGTGACACAACAGAAATCCCAGCGAAAATCGAAAATAGTTAGGAGTAGTTTCCAAATATTCTCTCACTTTTCTTGCCATAACATTATGCAAATTTAGATTCCTGTGCTTTGTTTGTGAACAAAGTGAGGGATTATCCCACCTCTGCTGGCTGCCAGGAGAGAAGGCTGTGTGTCCCCTGACAAAAACTGCTGCACAAGTTTCAATCAGTCTGACAAAATTGTTGCTACTTTTCCTGCTGGTTGATTGTAAAAACAGACCGAATCCTCACGAATTCTCACCCAAAAATGGCACTGTGCTGGTATTTCACAGCCATTTGAAGGTTATTTTGTGAGCTTTTGTTGGTTTGTTGTTTTGCACATACCCAACCCATATTTCTACTTCTAAACGTACTGCATTTTGAAGAAGCACTTTCTGCTGTTATTCATATATTTTCATAGATGTCTGAGGCTGGTTTTTCAACAGAAGGCAGAATTTGAATCAGCATTTCTAAACTTGAGAAGCTGCAGTCTGGGCTCAGACTGCCACCTAGCATTTTTAGTTGAAACACCAATCTCCAGTGGTTTTGTGGGCCACATTCTGACTCTTTCACTCATGTTGCACCTAATTCTGCATGTCATCCCTATGGAATGACTTCATTAACTGAACGAAATCAACCAATGTCATAAATAATCCAAGTCTGGGAAGTTAGTCTGTAATTTCTCACTTGGTAGATGGGCTCTAATGAGGGTCATGGGATATTTACTCTATTTTCTTGCATCATACTTCATGACATTTATGTAGAAAAGAGTATTTTTGACACACTTAGGACCCAGTTTTGCTTGTGTCTCTTTGTTTTGTTCACCTGACGTCAGTTTACATTAAATGAGAAGTTAGACCAGAATATTTTTTCCCCTTGAGATAATCTTTAAGATAGTGGGAAGATATTATAACTCTACCCTTGTTTAGCCCACTCTCAGCAGCCTGAATCAAACAGTTGAGATTGCTTTTCGCCACAGGTGATATCATGTGCTCTCTTGTTAATGTAAATATTGTCCAGCACTGGGAATGATGGTTTTTCCTCTCTTTTCTGCAGCAATATGAGAACTGGAGACCAAACCAGCCAGACAGCTTCTTTTCTGCTGGAGAAGACTGTGTTGTTATAATCTGGCATGAGAACGGGCAGTGGAATGATGTCCCGTGCAATTACCACCTCACTTACACCTGCAAGAAAGGAACAGGTACAAACCTGGCAGTGACAAAAGCATAATTTGCTAAATTGCCATTCAGTACTTTTTACCATGTTCTGTGGACCTTGATGGATCCATCAGTTTTCAGTCCTTTTGAACATGTCATTGAGGATGACATGAAGAGTCCTGAAATAAGGACTTTTTCCTTAAATGCTTGTAGTAACTTCACTGGTTTTCAGGTTTTTTTGGTTTGAGTATACCAACTGTTTGGCTTGAATTTACATTAAAATTTAAACCAAAAAGACAGTACTGACCACAACATCTGCCATTTTCCAATTTACAAAACTATTAGTTTTGGTTTACAATACTAGGGATCTACAGGGCAGACTGATGCCCCTGTCCTTGTCTGGATGCTCCTTTGGGAGTCCAGCTGAGCTCCCTTGTCACCTCCCCTTAGCCAGGGCTCAGACGCTGCTCCCAGCTCAAACTGGGCTCACAAACTAAAATTTTGGGTGATGCTCTCTCTTCCTTCCAGTGGCTTGTGGCCAGCCTCCTGTTGTGGAAAATGCAAAGACCTTTGGGAAGATGAAGCCTCGTTATGAGATCAACTCCCTCATCAGATACCACTGCAAGGATGGCTTCATCCAGCGCCACATCCCGACCATCCGCTGCCAGGGGAACGGACGATGGGATATGCCCAAAATTACTTGCATGAATCGTGAGTTCTCTGGAAGAAAACCACTGGCAAATCAGAAACAGCAGGCTGGTTTAAGATTAATAAGCAATGAATGTGTATTTTAAGAGAGGAGCAAGTCTGGTAGGACAGATTGTGGTGAAAAAACACCAAGCATCCAAAACTAATGGAAATTTTCCTCTTCTGTGTCTACTGATGCCTTGGAGTGGCTGCCTAGAACAGAGATTTGACAAGATTAAGAGAATAAAGTGGGTATTTATTAAAGGCCTTCAATAGGCAATTTTGGGCAGTCAGAAGCCTCCCAGAGGCCACACCCAAGATGGACAATGGTCATGAGTTTTTCAGGCAATTTTAAGTTTGGTCCATTTACATTTCAGGGGTTAATCCTCCAATTCCAGCTTCAGGTAATGAAGTAATTTCCCCCCAGTTTGCTCCCCCCAGTTCACTTTTGTTTATACTTTTGGGGCCTGAGGCTGTCCTCAGGCCTAGAGGAGCTGTGTTGTCTGTGCAAAATGTGAAGACAGTAACTAAGACTCTATATGCAGTTTAGAATTATACCCTAGAGCAGTGCAGGATTTTAAAAACACAAAGGCTGAAATCTTAAGGCATCATTCCAGAAGGCATTAGGATTATTTTAATGTCAGAAAAATCCTGGAATCAACAGGTTCCTAATAATGCTAATGACTCTTTCTGCAGCTGTGTATGCCTGTAACACTGCCACAGCTCCACTTAATCATTTGTTTACCCTCTAATTAACCAAGAATAAACACAACTGTGTTGTGAAGTGTAGCCAGCCCATTCACAGCTTAATTGTAAACTAATTTCCCTTTTTTTTTTTTTTCCCTTCTCCCTTCTCTCTGCAGCCTCCACATACCAAAGGACTTACTCTAAGAAATACTACTACAAACACTCCTCATCAGGCAAGGGGACGTCGTTAAACTCCTCCAAGCACTACCACCGCTGGATCAGGACGTGGCAGGACTCGAGGCGCTGAGAGCTAAATGGTGAATTGGGGATTTCCACCATTTCAGCCAAAGTCATAACTTTCTGTGCCTTTTTCTATCACTTATAGGAGTATTATCGAATCGTTTTGAAACTACGGACTGCAGTATTCACGGCGCGTTTTGCAAAAAAAAAAAAGGAAAAAAATAGAAATTACGGTGTTTATCAGAAAATTTAAGAAATAAATAAAAAAGAGGAGAAGTGCTTATGGGGATAAAAGGAAACCATTTCCAGCCTATAAAGATTATTAGTTTTCTATATGCCATCGGTGTGGACCATTTTATGATATGTACCAGCCTTCTGCAATATTTAAACAGCTCAATTTTAGCACCAATGAAAATGTAAATAAGATGATTTTAATGTTGTTTGACTGTGTGTTGTTTTTAAAATCCTGTATATAAAATGAAAAGTCACACTAATTTCAGGCATATTTATGGTTAGAACGGCCTCAGAGGTCTTCAGTCATTTATGACGTTGTTTCTGTGTTGTTTACCTAGGCTGGAAATGGTTGAAATAAAGACTTCACTGACTGAAATTTGCAATTATCAGGTGAAGATAAACACACAAGTGACATGACTCTTTTTTTTTTTTTTTTTTTTTTTCATGGGAGCTGTGCCAATTCCCACCCAAGGTACAGTTTGTGTCCCAGGAGATGAAAAGTTTAGACAGAGCACATAAAAGTGGCACGAAGCATGAACTAGGGACTGCAATATGGAACGTTTTTTCTGCTCTCCATTCCAGCTTCAGCACACGTGAGAAAGGACTGTGTGGAGGAGTTGTGTATGACATGGAGAGCCTGTAAAATTCCAAGTGCTAATACATTAACTTTATCAACCAGGGCCACTTTTTTTTTTTGTTTTGTTTTGGTTTGGTTTTTTTGTTTGTTTGTTTTTTCGAGAAGAGAAAAAAAAGGAAACAAGGAAAAAAATTACTTTCATGATATTAACCACAAGGTCTATATTACAGGTCTCTGCATTCTAAAATGGAGGTAGACCTGGTGTTTGGGGGATTTTTTTTTTGTAGAAAACAAACAAAAATCAAAAAAGTAAATAATTTTGTATATATAACCATTTTTTAATCTTTTTATAAAGTAATGAATGTTTGTGTATGAATGCTGCAGCTGTGAAGCGTACATAAATAAATGAAGTAAGCCATACTGATTTAATTTATTGGATGTTATTTTACCCATTCAAAGAAGATTCAAAGAGCTCACCAGTGCAGTATTAGCCCCTGAGCTCCACTTTTGGAACCATCTTTCAGTTCAGCTTGCTCTTTTTCCCCGGAGAACAAAAATTCCTGCTAAACAGGATAATTTGTTGGCGGCTAGATGGGTGAGAGCTGTGCGTGACCCACAGAAGAATCAGGATCTTGGCTTTCTCTAAAGAAGTGTGTGCACAGATTGGTTCTAGGTTGTAGTTTGGTGCAGTGTGTACGTAGGAGTTTTCTGTTATGATTTCTTGCCCTGGTCAGTGCCACCACTGGCCTGGATGTGTACAGTGAGTGTAGGAGGTGACGTTTGAAACGGCCTCTCCACGGAAAGGACTGTTGTTCCTGCAAAGTGCCTTGCACACCTTTGGGCACAGGACACAAAAAAAAAAAAAAAAAAAGGGGAAAAAAAAAAAAAAAAGTTTAAAAAAAAATTTACGAAAAAAGGGAAAAAAACAAATAACAGTTGAAAAACCCTCGTGAAGATAAAGTAAGTTCCTTAGGATGTACCTTTTAAAGTGACATGAAAAACACACACAGGTTTACGCCTCTGTGTTCACGTGGGGTTGTGATGGGGACAGAAAAACTGAGAGGGAAAGGAGAAGAATTGAAACCCAGCCACCAGGGCAGAGCTGCCCGTGGAGTGACCTTGCCACAGCTGAAACCAGAGTTCAGACAACTTCCCCTGGCCCTGAGGAATGGCAGAGGCTGCTCCCCACCCTTGTGGCAGGACCTCCTTGTGTTGGCTGGTCTATTCCCCACCCCTCACCCCCAAACAATGCACATAATACTTTTCTCTATTTATATTATTATCTTGTATAGTGTATAATGTGAATGTCTGGGGGGTTTTTTTTTGTGAATGAAAGTCTAAAATCTTTGTAACTTTTATATCTGCTTCTGTTTCACCAAAGAAACAAGGTTTTGCTATACTGTGACTTGTCTTGTTATTGCATGTCTTCCTGTTTAAATCTATGCAATGTGATTTTTTTCATATGAATACAACTAGACTGTCAGGTACTTCACAATTACCACGGGCTTGGTCAAGTGCCCACTGGAGTCAAAGAGTCAGCTGGCTGAACTTTAGTAGGTGCTGGATTTGACTTTATATGAGCAGCTTTAGGGGATATTTTAAGATATACATTGTATGTTTTGAAGTCGATTATTGCTTGTAAAAGTCAAGGTTCTGTTCATAAATATACACTAATCTACACATCACTTCCTTGTACCAGAAACACACAGAACAGAAAATATATTTTAACACTTTGCAAACTTTCTCACCATATGTATAAAAAAACCCTGCATAGATTTGTTGTTTTCTTGTCTACTTGTTGGATTTAACAATGTTGTAAGACATTCAGATAACATTGTGATTGTAGTTTTAATTAGGTTAGATTCAGTGCTTATATTGATTTTTTTTTCACCTCCTTCTATTACGCATAATAAAATAGGTCTGACATTCCTTATTAAAAAAAAAAAAAAAACAAAAAAAACCAAAAAAAACAATTAAAAAAACCTGTCACCCATGCTTGTTTATTTAGATAGGGAATGACAAAGTTATTCAGCTCTGGAGAATTTTTATAATACTGATGCAAACCCCAAAATGTTTTTGTACCAACACCCTGCAAAATGCACGCGCCTGTGTCACAGGGGTGGCTGTGCTGTGAGGCCAAGGTGCTACCATGGCAAATGCCATCATTCCTTCACCTGGAGCATCCCTGAACTCCAGCCTGGGGAACAATGCTGGGGTTGGAGTGGAGGGATAGAAGACAAAACCAGAGAAGTCACAAGAGTATGGAGTGCCAGGACAAAAGGAGATGGCTTCAAACTGAGAGAGGGCAGGGCTGGCTGGGATCTTGGGAATGGGGAATTGTTCCCTGGCAGGGTGGGCAGGCCCTGGCACAGGGTGCCCAGAGCAGCTGGGGCTGCCCCTGGATCCCTGGCAGAGCCCAAGGCCAGGCTGGACACTGGGGCTGGAGCAGCCTGGGACAGTGGGAGGTGTCCCTGCCATGCCTGGGCTGGCACTGGGTGGGATTTAAACCCCTTTTCAACCCAAACTATTCTATGGTTCCATGATATGAATGCAGGTTTTGCATTTTTCGTGCCCATGACAGTCTCTGCAGAGTACCCAGTGCTGCTCTGAACATCCTCCTGTCCCTTCAGATACCAACAGCGTTTGAATTCCTGGGGTGCACCCCACAGGGCAGAGATCAGCCAGGACAACTCCTTTGGGAGACCTCAAACAGCAGGAGAAGGTGCTGGTTGGGCCACACATTCCAGTTTTGCAGCTACACTCCAAGAGATGCACAGCTTCATGGAATTAGATGGAGACATCCCCGTGATGGCAGAACTTTGGTTTGGTGGGATCTCCTGCCTGAGACATCCCAACTCATCAGAGCTGGGGATGGAGGAGCCCTGCAGGAGGAAACACAAGTCCTGGAATTGCAGCAGTGGGGCCAGCAGGATGCAGACAGGCTGGCAGGGGGCTGCCAGTGGAAAGGATTTGCTGCCAAGAGGACTTTGGCATCAGGAATTTCTTTGCCAGGGCAGTGGTTGGAGGAACATTGAGGATCACCACATAGGTGTGGTTAAGGTCAAAGTGATACCTTTTCTAAGAAAAAATTCTTCATTTCTGTAGGTGACATCTCTGCCCTGAGCACAAGCAGAGACCATTCCCAGTCCATGGGAGTTGAAACAGCTGGTGCAAAAAGAAAAATCCATTATTTTCCAGAGAAAGCACATAATTTGTGTTATTGATTTTAAGCAGTGATATGTGCAGGACTCCATGAGCACATTGTTCTTCCTGAGGAATGATGAAAAACATACAAACAATGCTTGGAGGAGGCATGGACCAGAGCTTGAAGGCCACACAAAGCTGTTAGCATGGCAGAGAAAAGAAAGGACAGAAATATCACCCAGAAAAAGGTGTATCATTTCAGCCCTCCAGCAGCAGACCTGGAAGGAAGCTTAAGGCCTTGTACAGTGCAATTTGATGGCAAATTTTGTTTTCCACAGCAAATAAATATTTCCAGGTGGGGAAGCCATCAGCTGTTGGTGCAGTAGAGGCTCAGTCACTGTGTAAATGCTGACAGAACAGAGAGGCAGAACCTTGAGTCCCACAAGTGCAGAATTTATTGCTGGGGCAGGAACGGATTGGTGACAGCACCAAAATGCCTCCAGATTCCCAGATTCCAAAAGGAGGGACAAATGAAATGAAGCTGAAAATTGGCCCTGCAGCCATTTCTTCAGCCAGTTTCTGTGGTGGTTGGAGGAGAAAGTAAAGGAAGACAACCACTGTTGGTGGTCCTGCATGGATGCAGCAGTGTAAGGAGCAGGGCCACTGGGATTAGGTCTGGAAGTTGCATCATGCAGTGGTGAGCAGCCCCTTGGCAGTAAAACTACTCTTTGAGACAGGAGGGCAATCAGTTTAGGGAAGGGAATAAATGGTGTGGTTGTCTCTGGTAGCAGGAGAATGGCAGGAATTTGGGTCCTGTGTTTCTTACAGTCTTCGAGGTGATAATTGCACGTAATGTTCCTACTTGGTAGGGAAAAAGAGCAAAGCAGAGGTTTGGCACAGGTCACACAAAAAGATCTGTGGCAGACCTGGGTGTTCACTAAAGGCCCTCTTCTTCCACAGGTTTGAAAAAAAATAAAGAGAGGAAAAAGAAAAAAATGGCTTTTCTTAGCAGGTGATGAAAGATTTAATTGCAAAAGGCAGCAGGATCCCAGTTTACTCTTTTCAGAGTTAGAACAAACGTTGGGCTCACCCAGTTGCCATGACTTTGTCAAAATAAATATTCTTAATAAGCTTGGGGAAGCAGGAAGAAGCACCAGATATTGCTGATGGTGCTGTTTGCTTGCTGGATGAGGAATCCCTTAGGTTCCCCCTGAAGGGAACTTCTTCCTCCTCTGCTTAAACCAGGGCAGCTTCCACATGTACTGAAATCCTTAGCAAAGATCCAAAATCCAGGAACTGAGATCTTGGTTTACCAAGGACCAAAAATTCCAAAATAGATGGATTTTTTAGTACACAGCAGGGTAACATCCCCTGTGCCTCCCAAAGGTGCATTTCCACAGGAACATGTGCTCTGCTAATAAAATGTGGATTTTGGTGAATTTCAAAACATGCTGCAGCTAGACTGATATTTGCAGCTTGAAAACAGCTTGGCAAAAGGCTGAAATGCCAGATCTTCCCCTTTGCTTTTAGGGGAAATTAAGATATTTTCCTCTCATCAACCTGAACAGGTTCTGCTGGTGTTCTCATCCTTTCAGTTTATAAAGAGAACCCATCTCCCTCATCCCTGTGAAAGGATCTGGAGCAAAGTTCTGCCCCCTTGCACTCTGCCATCACCCACATG